GGGGGGGGGTACAGATTGACTACGTGAGCGAATGCATCACCTCCGGTTGTGAGGCAGGCTCGGCGACTCCATCCTCAGAAAGATGCAAGTGAAGCATCTCCTCGAAACTGACCGCGGTATCCATGGCGAATTTACAGGATCCTCCTCGTGCCGAGAAGGAAAGTAACAGTCGGGCTAAACTCAACTGAAACCCCGAGAGGAATCAGGGAGCAAGATACGGCCAAAGTAATGGACGCAGCTATGGACACTCTAGGAAGTGGCGCGCTAAGGATGGCGGTAACGTTGCACATAAGAGTGGTGGCAGCAGAGAGCGACGCAGGTCACTCACCCGTCATAGCAAAAGCACCAGCAGATAGTAGGACAGTCGACGATGGTGACCCGGAATTGGCGAGGGCGACTATATTCGTGACCTCCACACGAGTGAGAAGGACCATCGTATAGTCCTCGTCAGACTGAGTCAGCATGTTGCTAATTGGTCAGTTAAAGAGCTCCACAAATCGCGGGGTTTTCACTTCTCGGAGTGGAGAGGTACCGGAAGGTTCCCGTCCCTATGGTCGTCCCTATGGTCGGCCGTACTGACCACAATGCATGTCAGATCCCAGGAGCCCTGATATGGACCAGATGCGAGAAAATTAGATAGGTTCCTAAGTGACTGGAAACTGGGTAGATTCATATGTTTATGGTTCCCGTATTTTTCGGGTCAAGAATCGGACTTCGGGTATTTACCTATGGCCTATAGCCTATAGGTACTGAGACCATAAGCCTATTTCAAGGTAAGTTCAATAATCTGGTTTCGAAGGGGGAGGCTCAACTACACCATTCATTTTCCCCTTAACATCATTCTATTTTATTTTTATTATTTTATTTTTTAATAACAATTCTTTCAACGATAATTATAAAATTTAATTTAGTCATCCATTTAGGGGCAAAAATCATAGAATGCTGGGGATCAAGCAGTTCTTTGTTAATGTGTGTGTGTGTGTGTGTGTGTGTGTGTGTGTGTGTGTGTGTGCGTGTGCGTGTGCGTGAGAGAGAGAGAGAGTTGCAAATGCAGCATGTCAG